TAGGAAATGGAAAGACTTGGAAAAAATTATATTAAGTGAAGTAAGCCAGGCCCAAAGAAACATAGGTCCCATGGTTTCCCTTATTTGCAATAACTACTATCTGTGTAGGACAAGCACAAAAGGCCAAAAGCTATTGAAATTCTTTCTCCCTCTTGTCCTCCTCTCAGTCATTCTCGGTTGTTGCATCAATGTGATTAAAGAAGATGAACATGTTTTTTTCTTCTGCACATACACATATTTATTTATACATACACACGTATGTGAATTATTAAATTTTGGTCTGAAGTTATGGAAGATTTAAAACTGACCATTACAGCATATCTGCATAGTTGATGGAAATCCAATGTTGGTATTTTATGTTGGAAATCTGATCATCATAGTGGTTTTTGAAATCCAAATTTATACTTAATATGAATTCTCATTTTATACCCCTTAGTATCAGTCACGGATATAATCTTATTCGCTTACTGTGACTTTTTTCACTTCACCATTCTTCTCCTGTTATCAAAAAAACATGTGCCATGCTGTTTTTCTTAATAAAAAAGAAAAACAAGTAGATTTTAGTTCATTAATAGTCTCTTTGTCTCTTCAGCACACACACATATTTAAAAAATTAGAGCATATTCATCATCTAAAGGTGTTTTACTATATGGTATTTCCAGTGATGTATATATTGTATTTTTATACAATTCACACAATTACTGTTTCTCATTCCTATCTCCTTTACATTTTTATAGGAACTTCTATCATTTAAAATGTTTTAGAAAATGAGCAAATACTCAAACAGCATTAATAACTTTGAGTCACATTCTCTTCTATTGTCTCTGAAGTGGCTCTAGCAGTAATACGGAAGATGAATTTGACCAAAGTATAAAATATGCATACATAGAAATACCAAGGAAAAACTTCTATCCTGCCAAACTATGTTACTTTGCAACCGTTAAAAAAAGGAATGATAATCATGGTTTCTATGAGTTAAATAAAGTACAAGAATAATATATTAGTTAAGTTGAAACATCTGATCAAAATGCAAATACTTTTAAGTTATTATTTTATATTGATGATCATATTTACAAATGGTTCTCTATATTGCTTTCCTTCAGTGTCCACCTGCTAGGGTACTGCATTACCACTAAGCTACACAACACATTCTGACTTGGTCAGAGTAAAATTAACTGATGAACTTTTTTTCTCTTAGGTCTGAATAGGGACTGAATTTGGAACCTGACACTTTCACTCATTGCCTATTGCTCTGCTAACTAAGTCACACCTCCAACCTCTGAAATTAAATGTATAGAAAATAATTACTAGAAAATAATATAACCTAGCATTTTAAGTTTGCATTTATTTTTGGTAAAGAAATAAATTTCAGATTATACTGATCACAGATTTTAAGAATTAGTTGTTTTTAAATATGAGGGATTGTCATAAGCTTATCAAATAGTATAGTCAGTTGAAATGGTAATAAAATTACTACATTTTATAAAATTTCTATATTTCTGATTTTATTTATGTGAAAATAGTCTGTTTACCTTAGCATATTGCTGTTTCAGAAGGAAAAAAAATATTCAATTGATCTTTACCTTGAAGACAGTGCCCAAATCTTCTACTAGAGAACATGGAAACACTTCTTAGAGCCAGAAAGGAAAGTAGAACAGGATCACCTGTGTTCAATAAAAGTATTGTAGACATTGTTTGTGATTGGGTAAATGCCTAAAAGTGGGGTTTCTGAGTTATAGGGGAGTTCTATATGCAGTCTTTTGAGGAACTTCCATACTGCTTTCCAAAGTGTCTGGGCAAGTTTACACTCCCACCAACAATAGGGTTCCCTTTTGGCCACATCCCCTCCAGCATCTGTTGTTACTAGATTTTCTTGATAATAGCCATTCTATCTGGGGTGAGGTGGAATCTCAATATTGTTTTGATTTTCATTTCTTTTATGACTAGAGAAGTTGAGCATTTCTTCCTTTGTCTACTGACCATTCCAGATGCCCCTCAGCAGATTAATGGATCAAGAAAATGTGATATATATATATATATATATGAATATATATATATATATATATATATATATATATAGGAATTCTATGCCTCCATCAGAAAGAATGAAACCACCACATTAGGAAATGGAAAGACAAAGACTTGGGGAAAATTATATTAAGTGAAGTAAGCCATACCCAAAGAAACATACGTCCCATGGTTTCCCTTATTGGCAATAACTAGTATATGTCTAGGATAAGCAGAAGGGATCAAAAGCTATATACATATGACCATATAACCTGAGGCTAAGCAAAATGAACCCCAAGATAGGGACACAAGTGGTTTTATCTTTCTTGCTGTTCTTTTTAATGTACTTATAATGTACTATGTGATTTTTTTGTTTCTTTGTATGTTCTTCCTCCATGGTATAACCCCTGTTTTCATTGTATTTGATTCCAGTGTCCTGCATCTTGTATATACATTCTTCTAATTTGGGGAATGAAAGGGAAATAACAAAATGCTGAAATAAATATACAGGATGACCCATTGTAATAACAAAATGTACAAGACACTATGTTGAAAATGAACTTTTCAATAACTTTGGGGGGAGAGAGGAAGGAGTGTGGGAGGTGGAGACAAAATGGATAGAGGGAAAAACAAAGGATGAGGTAACAATGCTCAATAGGAAATGGACTCATTACCTTGCTCATGTAACCGTAACCCCTCTGTACAGTATCTTTACAATAAAATATATATATTTAAAATATTGTAGACATTTCCTCTAGTGATTAGTGTTTTTAATTTAGTGACATTAGAGAAGCAAGACTATTTATTGTTATTACAAAAGAAAATCATTTATCTCAGAATATTTGTCTCCTATAATAGTGCTTGATTTTTGTGATCAACAGCGGCTTGTAAATTTCACTTGTGAGCTCCCTTCATCCTGGAAGTTCTGTTTACACTTACTGTTCTCCAAATGATTCAGCATATTAGGCTAATTTTTCTTTAAAAATCAATTTCATTTTGAAAAGAACATAATTAGAATTAATAGTGCACCTGTATCAGGAAAGTGAGAGAGAAAATGGCAAGGCCATTGGGAAATGATAAAGGAAGAATGGGAAACGTTGACTAGTTAATGATCATAAGGAGTTCTAAAATTTATCTCTTATAGGAATGGAATATTTGGAATTGGGATGAAGAGAGAATAGTCACTAAGCTTCTTGTGACTGTGATGAATAGGATTGCTCTACTAAGAACTTGGACAAACTTAGAAATATCTCCTCCTTTTCCTATTCTATTCTCTTTTTTTCTTGTTTCCTGCTTTACCGCATTTCCACAAGAAAACAAGCATCACTTTACAACCAGGAACTGTCACACAGGCCAACAGGAAGCCAATCACACCCAGGGAGTGGTACGGGATCCAGGTGAGATCGTGGGCTGCAACCCGAAGGTGCTTGACTCCTTTGTGGCGCATGACAAACTCGATTCAGAAGACAGCTCGATCCAGAGGCTTCACTGGCTGATCATGGTGAATTATCGATAACCTCATCACACTTTCCTTATAACTAGAAGGCAAATCCACAGACAAAATGTTTTTACTTTTAACGGAGGGATGTAATAGATGGCTTAGGCTATACAAGCCAAAAGACATAGGTGTGTTAAGAAAGCATTTAATTTTACATAAACTTTGTTAATGGCATAGAGTTTTAAGATGAAGAGGAGGTAGAGAAAACTACATTCTAATGAATGTAATCAAATGCAGATTGAAAACAGTATTCCATGTGTTGATATGTACACTAGTTTTCTTATGAAGAAATGGGATATTTGTCCAACAATTGTGTTTGAGACTCCATGACCAAGATGGTGAATAAGCCAAGTGTGACAATGCTTTTTAAAACATCCATACCCGGTGGGAGGCGACAAGATGGTGGAGGAGAAGCTGGAAGCTGAACAAGCTCTCGCATAGAAAGCAGTTTTAGAGTTCCAGTGAACAGTCCTAAGCCAGAGAAACACACCAAGTGTGCCATTACAGAACAGAGAGTTAGACAAGTGAGAGAAAG